AAATACTAGTCTGTGGAAAATCGTCAGAATATCCTGGATCATCAATAATCAGTTCTTATATTGATGCTCCATTGTGATAAATATTTCAAAATAACACAGCCATTCAGCTCTGCCAGGTGTCGGTGGGATGAAATTGTTCAAGAGCGGAACTTATATATTTCCCTTTGATATGTAAAACAAAGAGCACAAACATACTGAGTTATGCCCTGGATGTATGATCGTTGTTATGTGACTTGAATGTACCTTAATACACTTTAACAGGGATATTCTTTCATAAAAGCATCTCCGTTGCAAAAAGTGAATACGAAAAAATCATCATTGCTCGAGACAGAAATATGATATCACTAGGTGTTATTCCAATTACGAAAGGCGATTGATACAATTATGAAGGGATACAGACGCACATGGCCCGGCCGACTCGGTTCACTAACCTGTGCTCAGAAAAGAAGCAAAATGTAAACGCCAAAAGATGTCAGGCTTTCTGTTTTTTTTTTCTTTTTTTATTTTTGGGGCAGAAACGTCCTGTCTGTACTCACCACTCTACAATAAAGACGTATGTTTGGGAAAATATAGCAAACACACACACACATATATATATATATATATTTACGTAATTTTGTATGGAGTGCATGTGTACTTTACAAATGTATGTACGAGTATGTTGCAGCTATCCTGCCAATTTGGAAACGCTGCATCAAATTGTGTTTTTATACACGTTCACAATATTCATGTGTGGGAAATAAAATGAAGAGGACCTTTCAGGAAGTACGATGCCCTCAATAACTTCCTTTTTATCTTATTCGATAAGTGATCAGGCTATTTAGGATAAACTGATATTTCTTTGCTAATCGAACACATGATCGAGTTGAGCGGATAAGGGACGAAAAAGTTTTGTCAGGAAGCAATTATTCTGGGTAATTTTTTATACACCTTTTTGACTTTTGATCGAGTGTGTATATTGGTGACGTGAGCACAGCATTTGAGACATAAATGTTGAGTGTGGGAGATTACATTATTTGCAATTGTAATCAGTGTTCGAAAAAAAACGACATAATGAAATAATGTACCGCTCCAAGAAGACAAGCACTAAAATATTGCAGTATATGGTCCGTTTACCTAGAATGGGCTACCTGGCATCGTTAGCCACCAATTCAGTTTTTATTTTTTAATAAAAAATGTATGTTAATAGTGTTAAAATGTGAGGCATTTATTTAATATGATATGGAATTGTATCTATAATGCAACGATTTAATATTTTCTCATAATTCATAAAATTCCGGCACCAAACCGAACCATACCCCATAATGTGTTTGCATACAAATATTACTTATTAACACTACGACCAATAACCAGGAACATTTGTACATTTTTTGAATACAAATGCTGTAAGATTTTCAATAATGGAAGTATTTGGATCAAATTTAAAGGAATCATTCTTGAGATATTTTCATCCATAATTAAAGAATAGATTATAAATAGAGTATGAACTCAAAATTATATATGCATTAAAAGAATATATATATTTAAATCCGTGTTTAAATGATAATCTATTTAAAAAAATCATTGTAATTGCGTCATAGCTTTCGAATGGGTTAAGACTTTTTAATTACTTTTTATTGGGATTTTATTAAGCTGTTCGAACATACATGATTTAAAATAAACCCTGCCATGATATATTATGGTAAATTCAGCCTGATTATGAAAATAAACCCTGATTCAGTATTTAATCCTGATAAATGAATATGCCAATTCGCTTTAAGAAAATGTACCCGAATCATATAGAAGGTCATGTAGGAAATTTGATATTCGGAGATAATAATATTTTCCCCTTGTGGAGTCGATGCTCAGAGGGCTGTAATCTGTAATAAATACAAATGACAATTACGATGTATGCACTACTCTCCTATATCCTCGCTCTTATTCACGAGTCCTTGCACATATATTAATCAAACTTATTTTTCTCTGCTCTAAAATGAAAACATTAAACAAATGTAAAACAGATGTTATCCCTCTACTGGGGGGCCTCCATTCAGATGGGTGTTGAAATTGGGACTGCCAAATAAACAATACTCTCGTACATACGTGCATATTTGTAGTGTTTATTTATATGTGTCAACATTGTTATCGGCATCAAAGTGTGTTTTCTCAATGGAATATTTCAGCTATAAGTGAGCTTGATTTCAGTACTTTTAAGTGTAAAGAAATAATAATAGTTCAACGGTTAAAGAACTAGACATTTCAAATGCAAATATAGTAGGGAGAAGTGCATTTTCTACGATGCATGCTTAATAGTCAAGTGTATGTTCTGATGACTCCGTGTTTCTGGAATCTGTATAATTTTTAAACTATGATTGCCAATTTCCGCACTAAATTTAATTTCATTTTCGATTGCCACTGTAATTGGTGTTGTAGAGTTCATTTATGTAACCGTTGTCACCTGCAAATGGTTCTAATCCACTGTTGTTTTTCCTTTGAATTGTAATTGTTTACCCCATCCTAAGTTGTTCGCAATAACGCTGTTGCAGTTTACAATGGAATTCCCCAGAAACCTGTCTTCTGAAATTCTTAGCATTAGTGATCAGACTCAAGCGCAAACATATCTGTCGACATAAATTCTTCAATGAGCTCATTTACGTTTACTCTCTAGCAAATATAGTAGTGTTGGTTGACCTTTGTATCATAACTTGATAGGAACTGGATTTCAATACTGTCTATGTGGCCGCTGTATCAGCCATGCACACACATTCACGTAAATACGTCACTATCCATATTCATTTCCACATTTGTTTGTATCAAGTTGGATTGTATTTTAATATAGACACTTGGTATTCCAAGATCGATTCTGACAAATACATAATATTGACCCTTTTTGTAGGATGTACCAGAGAACCAGAGGACAGGGCAGGCGGGTCCCACCTTCGGACTTGATCTTGGCTTGGTAAAGATAATAGGTTGTGCAAAGCTTGGTTCAAATCGGACATTCCAATCGCCTGATACATATTGAAAATGTTGACCCTTTGTGGGGGAGGTACCGGAGGAGTGAACCAATGGGTGCCATCTTCAAACTTGATCTATTCTTGGTAAAGATAATAGGTTATGCAAAGTTCGGTTCAAATCGAACATTCCATTCGCCTGATATTGGATTCATAAATATAAAAATGTAGAATATTTGTGAGAGAGGTACCAGAAGGAGCGGACCAATGGGTCCCATTTTCAAACTTAATCTTGGCTTGGTAAAGATAATAGGTTGTGCAAAATTGAATTCAAATCGGACATTCCAATTATAAATATTGAAAATTTTACCATTTGTGGGGAAGGTACCAAAAAGAGGTGGACCAATGGGTACCATCTTCAAACTTGATCTAGGCTTGGTAAAGGTATTATGTTGTGCAATGTTTGGTTCAAATCGGATATTCCATTAGCCTGATATTGCATTCATAAATATCGAAAATGTTGACCCTTTGTGGGGGAGGTACCCAGAAGGAGTGGACCAATCATCTTCCTACCAGACCTAGGCTTGGTAAAAATAATATGTTTCACAAAGTTCCATTAAAATCGGATAGTCCGTTTGTGTGTTATTATATAATTAATTATAATTAATTAATTGTGTGTTATATTATAATTAATTACTATTTTGTCGGGGAGGTACCAAAAGGAGTGGATCGATATTTCCCATCTTCGAACTTAAACTAAGCGATCTACACAGGGGCGAACCTTGGCTTTTAATGTGTGTTTCAGGATTTCGTTCATCGAGACGAGTTGAAAGCTAAATAATTTTACAATAGCCAATGTGAATCGGCTAGAGTAAAATTTAGTGCCAAAGTACGTTCAAAGTATATACCATTCTACTACCTATATATATATTTATATATGTAAATAAATGTCGAATGTGTTAAGATAAACAATGAATCATCCATAAACAAGTATGTATTATTTTTTTTTTTCAATTTTCCGCTTATGTATAAATATTGGAATTTGCTTTTTTTTCTGAATGAAAACTTAAAAACATTAAATGGGGGCACTGTCGTCCAGACGCAATAGGGAGAAAACTGCCACCACATGCCGAAAAATGCTCGTAGTATATAGATCAGTCTATTAATCAGATGTGTGTTTTTGTCGACACCCATTGTCGCGTCTCTACTATTTTGATGAGATTCGCGAGACACTAAAACGGAAGCAGTTTGGGTCAGCGAGCAACACACCATTCCGAAGGGAGCGATTAAATAATACACAAGCTTCGTGGATTTTAGTTGCTGCTGGTAACGCAAAACAAAAATAAGAGTATATGAGTCACAATTGGAACGACACTCAAGAGTCGAACAAGTCAAGTCAGCAGGAAATCTTACCATACGTATTGTTATTGGCGACAGAAGCGATCGATCCAAAGAATGAGCGTGTGAATTGTGTGATCTGCGACGGCAGTCAAACCGTCACCCATCTCTTTGGAACCAGCATTATCGGAGAGCAGTTGCTTACAGCGTCCCCACTTCGACTCTCCGTATGTGTTCGTGCACGCTCATAAGGCAACTTGTGAACGCTCAACTATCAGTTGTGCTTTAAATGTTTAAGAGTACGGATCATTGTCGGCAAGTTGGCGCGTAGCGTATGCGAAAAGTGCATCAATGTCTTTTAGGCATAAAAAGAAACAAAACGGAAACGATCAAAAAGTACACAAAGAAAAGAACGAAGAAGCGATCTGCAAACTGACAAATATCAAATAACAATTGATGAAACGCGAACCATCGCCATATTATCCATCGGACAAAGGCGGTCACAGAGCATTTGACAATTCTGTGTCCGTTTATGCTCCCCGTGTATATGTTCACATACATACGTACATACGAGCTATATATACGACGACTTCAGTGTTGAAACAAATATTCATATATTTCGCTAGTAAAACATTACGTGTTGTGTTTGAGGCACGACGCTCGTGCATTGTCTGAAATATAAATCTCATAGCGTCGACAACAGCAACAACAACAATAAAAAAGCACAGAATTTAATAGAAATCTAAATTGAGCCAAGCGACAAATGAACACATTGTCTGGAAACGTAAGCCAAGTAATGGAATTACAGTTTCTAGAATAGTTAAGTGGCGGAAAATTACGCCAAAGTGATGTCTGAAAATACGTAATCATATTGTTTGTGAATATACGAAAAGATACAGGAGGTCCGAGAGACGTGCGGAGAATCGAATATCGGATGAATGTAAAAGCGTGCTCCGTCAAACAGTTTGCTTGTGGAATGCTAAATAATGGCAATAGACTTCTTGATATTAGCTGTGCTCTTAGTGTCGTTTGTTATTAACTTCTTGGCTCTGGCTGCCTTTTGGGCGACACCCGGTCTGCGGTCGACGGCCAATCGCTTTACGATCAATCTTCTCATAATAAATCTGACTGGCTGTGTTTTACTAGCACCTACCTTGTTTCTGAGTTGTGGTAGTAGTGGTGTCGATGGCACGGACGGCAGCGACGATGGTATAAGCAATACAACCGGTTCTAATGAGTCTGGATTGAATCTCTTGTTGGCTGACGAAAACGATGACAGCATTGAATTTTATTCCAAGTCTGGCAACCAGCAAATGACAATTCGGCACAATGGAAGACTAGTGGAGAAGGAAGGTATCATACTAAGGCGAAATATCAGCGACGGATACGAGGATAACGGTATTGATAGTGTGAGAACAATTGAAACCATTTATAAATGCAATGCCACTTACTGTCATGAGCTAACCATTGACAAAGGGGCTAAATCTCTCGTAATCACTGAAATAGAGGAGGAAAATGTTGTTATGCCGCAGAATTTCGGCCCTGGCAATGAACGATTTCAGCACATGCCAAATCACCCCCTTTCATCACGGCCGTGGTCGATAGATATGGCGGCGGCACTGGGTGCCATGGCAGTTTTGCTAATAGTGGGCGATACGTGGTGTGCAGTTACAGATCCTTTGCGCTATCACAGCCGCATATCGGGAGTAAAGTCGTGGATATTGATAGGGCTGACATGGACAATGGGAATACTTTTTGGTGCTCTATCAGCTTTTAGAGAAATTGATTTCGAGTCTGAAATATTTATAACAAAGGAGAAGCGTGCAGATCCCGAGACATCAGTGTTCTTCAATTCCCATCCTGCAAGTAACATTTTCAGCATTGCCTTTTCTTGTTCCTATTTCCTGTTAATAATATTACTGCCATTTTGCTTCGTTTGTGGCATGTATTGGCGCATAATAACCGAAGCCAGGGAAAATGGTTTGAGAATGCGTCAGAATGGATCATCCCCACTTCTGCAAAGTGCAATAAATCTTACACAACCTCATCAGTTCCCCAACAACCTTTATGTCCATAGAAATTCAGTGTCGTCTACTTCATCCCAAGGATTACAAATGAAAATTGACAAACACCAAACCAAATGTACGCCACCGAATCTTCGAAAAAGTCCGAGTGACAAAACATTGATTGCGTCAACACGTGGCAATGCTCTGCCAAATAACGAGCTACAAAACATTGTACTAACACTGCGAACGCCAAGTGGCGACATTGAAAGGGACTTCTCAGCTCGCAATCTAGAGTGGTTAATATCGTCTTCGAATTCTGTATATCGAGAAGGTAGGGGCCAAGGTATACGTCAGGTGCATTCATCGCCAAATCTCCAAAGAAGTTCTATGTTGACACACAATACCCCATCTGGGACGTGTTCCCCTCATTTACTCGGAAGTCGTTTGCCCCAAAACATGCCTTGCATTCACTCGTTGGCGCAGACGTTTCAGCAGACACTCTCACATCCCCGTGGATCACTGCAGTCTCATCATCACTCGTTACAGATACCATCTATACACGGTTCGCCAAAGACTCCGAGTTATATGTCATCCCTGCGACACAGACTTTCCAACGCCTCCTCGCTATTTAAGTACCGCGAGGAATCGAGAGCTGCACGCATCAGTGTACTCGTTGTAATTATGTTCCTTATATCGTACCTGCCATTCGGCTGCTTGGTTGTGATACAAAGCAGATTGGCCTCGGCTAATTTTCGACAGTCCAACGACCTGGCAATTTTTATGATATTACTAGCAATTTTAAGTTCGCCTTTCATATTTGCGTATCGCATCAAAAGAGTGAGGCGAGGTGTGAAAAGACTGCTGAATTGTGATAATCAGTGCACCAGCAAACAGCTTCAAAGGCACAATAGTGCCAACAGCCGACTCAGTTCCAAATTAAATAGAAACAGTAGTCGAGTATCTGCGTATTCTGCCAAGACAGTTGGGCGCTATCTAACCCCGCAGAGCTCTCTAGTTTGTACCTCTATAAATATGCCTCAATGATACAATATTTGTTGCATATCATCAGATAAGACTTGAAATAGCAAAGCATGAAAGGACTGTGAGTGTGTCGCTATGATAACCCCTTGAAACACGCATCCATGGGAGCATCGGAGTTCCATCCGAGCGAATACTCGGCTTGCACGTTCATATTAAATGCGAGCAGTGATCCACGCCTCGCCACGCGATTTAGCAAAGTGGGAAGGGATTTCATTTTCGTAGAAACCAAGTACCTGGACATATATAAAAACTAATATTATCATTCTCGCTCAGTGCTTACTGCTAACAACACCCAACACCTGCTCCGGTATTCCTATGTAAGAGCATGTAATACTCAATCTGACAATGTATTACATTCGTAAGCTGTTCTCCTCGTCGCATTAAGCGTTAATAAAAAATATGTTTTACGTTTTGTTATGGCACTGCCTGTCTATATGCCAGGCAATTTCACGATCACGCAAATACGCGTGCGATGAGAATTAATTAATTAAATTCAACGAGATTCGGCATTAAGTTACTTCTTCGAATTCACAGATTGCGTGCTGACATAACACGAAATTCTATTTTCAACCAAATAAGCGGACCGAATGGGCAAATTCAAAAGGATAGGAAGAGAGGCAGAGCACTACGAAGGAGGTGATCAGAACCGGATTTTATCGAATTGAATATCAAATACCTCATTAGACTAAATTAAGTGGAGAAAGTGTGAGTCATGTGAACTTAAGATTCAGCACTGAGTAGGACAGTACTTCGTAACACCAACATAAATAAACGACGTTTACATCTATTAACATATATACATACATATCAAGGCGACTGTATTCCCAATGTACGACCAAAACAAGTTGGCAAAGGATATGTCATAAATTAAAAAAATAATAATAATAATAAAACAATGGACACAAAGCTTTATATGTTTATTTCAATTAAATTATTAATATTAGTTAATAATCAACACTAACTCTATTTCGATTGTATTTTTAATGTCACATCATAGGGTATTAAGTACAAATACACACTAAGTCAATAATTTTAAAAATTATTTTAAGCCAAATAAATATAACCTCTTTTGTAAAGATATAACCACGTTGGTCTTTTGAAAAGTCCAATAGGCAAAAATAAAAGTGAAATAAGAAAATAAAATGAAACGTTTCAAACTACTCTTTCTAACGTATCGAAAATGCAGATAAGTATAAGCATTTCTAATGATTTCCGTAGCAAAGGTATCAAAACAGCTCTATCAAACATTCATTTCTACATTACATTGTACATGGACGAGTTTACATTACCTGGGATATATCCGAGATCAATAATGAAAATGACGATTATCTAGGTACCGTGGGTGCGCCTCTAATTACAGTAGTGTTAGCGTTCTTATGTAGTATGACATTGTATTTGTATGCCCTCCACCAAAATATGAAGGGCATATTTGGTTTGTTTTTCCTCCACCAAAATATGAAGGGCATATTTGGTTTGTTTTTCCATTTTTAAATCATCGAAATAATCATTTCCAACCATATAAAGTATAGACAGTGGTTTGACTTACCTGCACAAATAACACTTGTAATTATTTCAGTGTGATGGTGTGTAAAATTGAGCGATTCGTTATAATTTGGCACATTGTGTTATTATCGGGTATCAAATATTCAAACTAAAAATCCTGCTAAAATTCAATATTGGTCGAATTTTTTGGGTAGCCCGCATATAACGTTAACCATAAATGTTCGATATTTTGTGGTTTACAAAACTAAAAGGTCAGCTTCGAAAAATGTCTATAACGGCCCACATTTAGGCATAACCCCCATAATTATTAATACCAATTTTCGATATTTTTAATGTTAAACGCGGTATCTAGGTATCTAAAAATAAAACTAAAAGGTTCGGTTCGAAAATGAATTATATGTGTTCGCATCTATGCATCTTTCCCCATATAATGATATCTTAGATTTTGTGTATTTTCTACCAAAGGTTTTCAATATCGGCCGCTTTTTGGTATATCCTCATATAACTCTGCCCTCTAAATAGCAGCATTTTGAGGATTTTAGGCAAATGTTACACCCTACCAATATAGGTCCACATTTTGGAGTTTGGATATTTTAGATAAAATTTCCAATTAAAAGTTTCTGAAATATATATTTCGGTGCCCCCCAATATTCGGTATTTTGAAGCCTTTGGACACGTTTTCAACCTAACAGCCATGGTACGTTATAAAAGGTAACAACAAAACCCAGCTGATTTGATTCTAACTAAATACCAAACCCAGCTGATTTGGTTCCAATGTAATACTAGTGTCATTATAAATAAGACAAATTATGTTTTTAAAAATCACCCAACAGGAAAATTGGGAACGCATACAATTCGAAATTGTTCTTTATTAAATGTCCTCCCATATTCAATTTACTCAACCTGCCTGCTGGGAATGTTTGAGGAAGCAAATCATTCTTAATGGAATATAAAATCGTCCTACGGATTTTAATGTTTTGTCGACTTTCAAAAAGGTGTAAACGTCGAAAACGTCATATACCTCTATAAAATGTAATAAATGTAGTAAACGCCATTTATTTGAATATTATTACCATATATACCTTATTCTATAAAATGTAATAAATTTCACGTGATTTTTTTCGCAGCTTTCGCGTTATAAACGCCATTTATTTGAAGGTATGCGGAAAGGGAATACATAAAAAAAATATTTCATATGGAAAACGTGAATACTGCCTAATTGATTGTACGGAATTTCTGAATTCCACCTCTATTCGTACATCTAATATCAAGCTTATTACCATTTGGTACTTTTCATACACAAAAGCACTATTTTCCGAAATATCTTTCTTATTTCCATTACACAGATTAAACCCAGTAAGAAAAGTTCAAAAGTCGGACGGGGGCGACTGTATGATACCCTTCACAACTTTGGGTACCAATCTGAAAATTATGCAAAATATTTTAAAGATCTGTATATGAGTGGACGTACTTGAGCAACCATGGCATCCTCCATTTGCTATTCTGCAACACATTGCGCTTTCCGAAATTTATCACGACACAAAATCCAATACAATATTTTACAATCATCAATCTAGACCTAATTCAGTACTCTGTGCAAAATTTTCTCTCAATCGGACAAACAAACATTTTCAGGATCCCAGTCTTATCCGTTCACATAGATCCAAATTGTCCCATATTTAGTACCATTTAGTACTTTTCGTACTTATGAGTTTGGATTTCCAATACGGTCTGAATCCTGTACTCTAACAGTAATTTTATTTTCAAATATAAGTTTTCCATCTCTATCCTTTCACTCAAATCTAAATTGTACTAAACTTAGACCATTTAGTGCACATAATTACGAATTTTCAAAACTACTTCTATGTTTCAATCCTACGTAATAAAACTTAATTTTAATTCCAAATTTTAGGATTCCCGCTCACACAAAACTAATTGTACCATATTTAGAACCATTTAGTGTTTCTCGTGTCCATAAGTACGAAATTGCAATTACTTTTTGTTTGTTTCTATAATTAAGAATTTCCTAAACTACGTCAATTCTACACTCCAACAGTAAATTTAATCCCAAAATTCTGGAGTCCAGCTCTATCCGTTCTCAAATAATCAAGTTGTATCAAATATAGTACCATTTAGTACACATAAGCACTATGCTTCCATATTTCAATTTTATATTCCAACAGCAACCATTATTCCAAATTTTAGGTATCCAGCTCTCTCTTAAGTACGAATTTCTTAAACCATTTCCATACATCAACACCACTTCCCAGCCTGTATTCCATATACAATTTTAATATTCTAGCTATATATGGGAAATTACAAAATTCTTTTAAAATTCCATTACACAGGTTAAGAAAAATATGCTGATTCGAAATCTGTTCGCGTTCACAAATTCGGATGCTGCGCACAAATTATTTCAAATATAAATTAAATTAATTCCTATCCGTTGTAATTCGCGAATTTCTTCACAAATGGATAAACACATTTGTTTTATTTGCATACTATTCAAATCACATTGAAATACGGTTTAATTATCGCGAAAAACAAAAAGAAAAATCAAGATCTGAAAAAATCTGAAAATAAAATAAATTAATTTTTGAATTAAAATAAAAAGTTTTTTGAATTTCCGATTTTTTTAGTATGGTGAAGGGAATTAGATTTTGCCTTAATCTTCTAAAATATGCGAAGCTTTCTTCTGCAAATTCTTTTAGATGATTGTTAAATATCGGTAGATTCATCTGATAAGAGTTTCGACTTTAAAAATGACTTAATGTATTGAATAATTTTTAACATCAAACTGATCAATATTAAAAAGCATGCAATTCGCGTATTCGTTAAAATCAGCTAATGCGCATGCGATTTTCGTATAAACCGAATCAATATCTTCCAATAATTATGTATTTTTCGATGTTTCATTTACCGGCCAAAGTGTGCCGCTCGATGCACTTTACTATGCAAAAACTGTAAAAATGGCTAAAAATTACGCAACGTGCATACGATTTTTATGCGCACAGATTTCAGTAATCTGCAATGAAAATACACAAAAGTACACCTATTTTAAAAGGATCGGTTAAGAACCGCGGATGTGCCTCCACAATCGATTTTTGATAAAATACGCATATTATTCGCGTATCAATATATTTTTGACCTATTTTTACACAGATTCGTGAATATGATAACACAAGAATGAATGTATGTGAAATCAATTCGAAGGAATCCGCGATTATATACGCGAATTTGTCAAAATACGTTTTTGCTGTTCCACATTCAAGGTACCTATATCCGCCGTTTTATTTGCCGGAATTGATCATGGATGGGCTCATTAGATCCGGCACGTAAAAAAACTAAAATCACGCGGGGTTCCACGGAATTTGAATGGACTTTCTTAATTTTAGACTCAAAAAATATGTTTTTTATAAAAATTTTCGTCTTTTGAACCCAATTGCAAATAAGCTACGGTGAGCACATTCATGAGATATACACTGAACGAAGCAAAATCA